CATGGGAACAGAGACTATAAAAATTGAGAATGAAGTTACTTCCTTGTTCTTAGCTGGTGGGAGCCCCCTGGAAGTGAACTCACATTCATCCACTGTGTTTATAGTCTTTCCCCACCTTCTCATGTCCTCATTTCTTCGTGAATATCTCGAAACCGTGGGCCCTAGCGCTTTAAGACGAACTGAGTGCTGTGTAGTCCTGGCTTCTCCTGCCTCCTGCGGGCACTTGTACTTACTGTCAGTGCCCTATGGGAGTTCTCAGAAGAGAAGAATTCACATGTGATGTGTGCATTCCCAGTGCTTCTTTGATCTCATTGTCCCATTTAAGCCCTTCTGAGCCACACTGAGTAAACAGGTGTGTTTCTCACTTAATAGCATTTATTTGAATGGCTGCAGCTGGTATTTTAAAATCAGTTTGTCATCAGTTTTAGTTTGAGAGCAAATGATGTTTTCATATAGTAAATGTGAAAGTCCATTCCTTATTTTAATTCAGTTCAACCCCGTTCACCTTGGTTTATTTAGACTTTCATCCGAGCCTCAAGCCTTATAGAGTAAGTTCAGAGAAGATGGAAAGATTTGGTAACAGACCCCCGTATACCATAGCCCATGGTAATCTGCCACTTTCTGTCTGTTGTAACCATAAATTTGTATAGTATTGCTCTGAGGGTTTGGTTCAGATACAACACGATCACAAGAGCATTTTCATTTGAGTGTGTGTGCTTTTGTCTACATGTGCAATATATTTACCGTAGTTTGAGTTTCTAGCTTTTGCGCCAAATAAGTAGAGTACTTAAACCATACCATAGTTTATTGCATTTTGCTGTAAATCTGTGGATTTTTTATTTGAAAGAAGTCTACTGTATACCATATTGAAAGTCAGCGGGCATAGCAGTCGACAAAAGTTTGGCATTATTTATGCTATGCTAGTCGCTCCTCTGTCGCATATGGAAGAACTTCAGCATTATCTATGTTTTTCTAATGAAAATTTTTTACGTCTTGAGTTTGTAATTTAAAATGGCATGCCAAATATGTCTTAAATTAGTCAGCTGTCTGTTTCAGCTTCAGTTTGTCCTACAGATCAGCAGATCGAAAACCACCAGTGCCGTTAACCTGTCTGGTAGGGAACAGTTAAAATTCGGCTAATGAACAAATTAAAAGTTGGAAATGACATGAGGGCTCATTTGCAGCAATGGGGAAGGAAATGGGAATTCACACAGTGGCAGCAGAGCCTTTAGAATGAATTTTAAATTGAACTTAAAATGTCTCACCTCCCTTGAGCATTGTACATACAATGTGCTGTAGCCTTTCCTCGCAGTTCCTGGCATCTTGGAGTCCTTCTGACCCCATGTTTTAGTTGCTCAAAGAACTTGATCAGCTGAAGGATAGGGTTGATGGAGTATGTTTATGGAATTCATCTTTTGGTTGGGCTGGCTGCTAGACTGTTCTCTCAGTGCGCACAGGAAGCTGAAGCGGAAGGTTCACAAGCTCGAAGTCCACCTGGTCAGCACAGGAAGCCACTCACTCAGGAACTCCCAGAGCCTGTGGATTGGACAGATCAACTGTGTGTGTGTGTGGGGGGGGGGGTGTTGAGACAGGGTTTCTCTGTAGCTTTGGAGCCTGTCCTAGAACTCACTCTGTGGACCAGGCTGGCCTGGAACTCACAGAGATCCTCTTGCCTCTGCCTCCTGAGTGCTGGGATTAAAGGTGTACACCACCACCACCCGGCTGATTGGAGAAATCTTAAGAGTAAACTTTTACCACTAGAATCAGGTTACAGAGGTTTACATGTGTTCATAACAGATGCCTTGAACTGCAGTGACAGAGCCACGGTCACTCTGAGAGCTGAGAACTGAACTCTGGTCCCCAGAAAGTATAGTAAATGCTCTAACCACTGAACCACCTGTTTAAAGTACTGTTCATTACTGTTTTTGAGAATTCCTTTGAGACTTAATGGCCAGGTAATTTCATATTAGCTTATAAGTAAATAATTCTCTAACAATCTAGAATTTGATTTTTATTACTTATTTCACTTAGCTATTGTCCTGCAGATTTAACCAACCGTATTACTGCAACTCAAAGTGTTTTATTATTATTATTTTTTATTTTTGTGTAGGGGTGTGTGCGTGTGCATGCATGTGTGTCAGACACTATTTTGGTTTTCTGAGACAGGGTTTTTCAGTGTAGCCCTGACTGTCCTGGAATCAGACTGGTCTCGTACTCAGAGAGATCGACCTGCCTCTGCCTCTCCAGTGCTGGGATTAATGGTGCGTGCCACCTCTGCCCATCTATATTGCTGGATGTGTGAATTTTTCAGACCCATCTCTAGTAAACTGATTTCACTACTGAATTCAGCCAGCATTCAAATTCATACACTCCCTACCTTTACCCCGCTTGAGTAGGACACTACAGCTGTGTGCCTTCAGTGTCGGGGTGTGTGAGGACAGTCATAGGTGAAGACAGCTGGATCATGGGCCTGGACTTTGTGACTTCATATTTTCATTCTTTTGCTACTGAAGAAAGATTAAGCAGGAGCCTTTCAAAAGAGCAGCTGACACTACCCCCAGCCTGCAGTGGCCTGAGTCAGTGTGCTCCTTTGGAGTCGGTAGATCCTTCACATGTTCGTGGCAGAGGTCCAATCCGCCAGACCAGGCAAGAAGTGGGCAAATCCGAGCTGAATGCTTGCCAAGTCTACATACCAAACTGGGTTCTCACCCCACGCCTTCGGCCGCCCTCTCTCTATGGAGCTGTTGGCCAGTGGATCACTTCTGGCTGGAGGTAGAGCAGCTTTTAACCAAAGCAGCCGGGCTACACTGTGAGTTGTGACCCTGTTGTCGGCAGAGATGACTGTGGCTGCTAAGGGCCTCCTCACTTGGTGTCACCATGGTATGGTGGGGTGAGCATCTGACTGGTGACGTTTGCAACCTGCTGTGATTTCCTGGAAAGAAATCGGGGGTTGTCTGTCTGTTTAGGTTTACTCTTCATTTGATGGGGTGAAGCGCGTTTCTGTTTTATAAATCAGGAAGCTTTCTCTGTAGGTAGGGAGTGTCAGGGTCTTTAGTTTAGTGGGCTTTTCTTGTTAGTTTGTTAATGTAGAGATGGATAAATTTTGTCCCATTTTTGTTTGTTGTTTTTTGAAGCCATTGGAGAACTCTTTCAAGTTATAGAGGACTGAGTAGACAATTTCAGTACAAACTTCCAAGTTCTTTACCCTGCAAGTATCTGTGTATCTGTGACTATTCATGTGTTTGGTGTCCCTGTCAATAATCCGAATTTTGTTGTATGTTGCAACTTGAGCGTAGTTAGAGGGCTGTCCATGGGCCCTGCAGATTACACACCGGCACCATGGGGCTATTTTAGATGACGGTGTTTCTAACAGAATTATTCTGAGTATTGGAATATTTGGGGTGTTCTGCTTATAATAATTGAAACGAAAGGTGAGTATTGTCTACCAACACAATTCCCTTTTTATCTGAAGCATTTCTGGCATTTAGAAATGGCTTTACCCTCGTTTTATTTTTTTTAATTAATGCACAGGATCCCTATGTTGTGGAGACATTGGTCAGTTCAGTTTTTCAAAGTACAACGCGAGCTCTTGTGACGTAAGAGTTCTGATAGAATTAAGTAAATCTTGACGTCAAGTAGATGTGACCAGAGCTGGGCTACACTGGCCTAACTCAGCAACATTGTGGAAGTTAAACAACTTAGACTCCCTAGCAAGGTTTATGTTTTTAAAAGATACATTTCTTTTGTACTGTGGCGGTACCCAAGCATTATGGTTATAAAATGTCGAGAAAATAGTAAAATGTCTTACAAACAAAAACTGCATTCACCCACTTGGTCTTTCAATCTTGTTTTGTATGCATTGTTTTCTGCAGCTTGATGTTAATATTCTGTGGGTCACAGAGGAAAACGATGGAAGGCCACTGTTGATTTTACTGGTTCTGTCCTTGCCAGTAACTAAACCGTTAAAGCTTGCAGGAGTGCTTGTCAGCCACACCCCCTCTCTGATGTCTCTTCTCTTCGTGCCCCTGTCTCTCAGTCAGCTTTTGTATTTATTGCGTTCTGAACCTCAGAATCAGGCTCACTGTTGTGAGGACATTTTTCTCGACCTTTAATTTTTTCTGGAATGTACTCTGTTTGTTTGGAAATTAATACTAATTAACAGGATTATCTTTCTCCTTAATATCCCAGTCTCCAGTTTTGAAAAAGGAAATTGCCACAGCTTAGTAATGTGTGTCCCCTTCAATTTCTTACGTCTTCCAAATGTCAGATGCCTTATTAAAATTTTTTTGAATCTAACTATATTTCTAAGTCTTATTTGTGCATGGCGTGCCTTAAAAACTGGGAACTGAATTTAAAGCAGAAATAAAGTGTAGCATTGAATTCTCAGTTTGTACCCCTGTGGTATTTCCCACATGCAGTTGTGGCTACCATTGAGCTGCAGCAGGTGAGGAGGCTGTGTTCTTATGCTAACTTTCTGGGCTGTAACAGAACTAGAACTCATTCCATAGTTTTGCCAGTGACCCACAGAACAATGCCCAGCTTACTGCAGATGAGCGCTTGAGGACTGTGGGGAGAAGCAGCAGCTGGGGAGCACAATGCCCTCATGTCAGAGTCTGCCGTCTCTCGTTAGCACTGAATCCTTGGCGTCACACATAGTAATTGTTCTTCTCCATCTGATTTTCCCATTTGATTCGCTCTCTGTGTTTAAGGGCTTCAGCCGGGAATTTTGTGTTAAAGTAGGTGTGCTGCTGGGGTGCTCCAGAAAAGGGGGAGAAATAGAGAAAATTCAAATCTACGTTTCCATGAAAACCGAAGCCCTTGTTTCTGTACCTCACATACTTACTGGTTCTACCACAGCATATATGGCAGAATTGCTATTGATTATTAATTTTGAGTTATTTTTTTATCATACTCTTTAACAGTACAGTATACTTGTATTTACTAATGTTGAATGAGTTTTCCTCTAATTTTTTGTACATTTTCCCCCCTTTTCCACCAAGGCCTTATCTCTTTGGAGCGGGGTGTTTTTCCATAAAAGCTCCATGGTGAGTTCCCATTTGGTCCCGCATGCCTGATTCATTTGCTGTACTCTCGAAAAGTAACTGTTTTAGAGTTTGTTTTCAGTTGCATGGCCTGATCGCAGATAGATGCACCAAGTTACTGGCTGAGTAGATCTGAATGCTGGCATTTAAACCTTGAAAAAGCAGTTCCTTTGGTTTTACTTGAGTCTTTCAAAACACTTTTTTCTACAAAAACCAGATTTGTTTTGTCTTTATTTGTTTTGTTTTTTTTTTGTTGTTGTTGTTTTTCTTAAAGAAGGCAGAATAGTTCTGTCACCGTGCTGGTGAATAATATAAGAAAGGTCTAGTCACAAGCAGAATCTTTGAATGTGAAGTTCCTCACTTAGCATACTTCATACTAGAGAATGGAGTTTGTGTTTAAGGACAAATATATGGAGGGCCAAGTTGCAGTGTATTTTATTTGGTCCCAAAAGGACTGTGTTGAACTCTGTTTTGAATAAAGTGGGTATTTAATGAGCTGAATAAAAGGTAAAGGAATGCATGTTTCTGATGAAAATGCCCATGACATTCTGTTGAACTATGTTAGACAGTTAAGGCATGATAACCACGGAAAGGGAAGAGTGTGTTCCATATTCACATTTGAAGACAGCAGTTAGAATGTGTTGAGGATCTGATATAAAATGTTTAAGTAATTATGAATTGGGATTCTAGAATAAAGCTGCCTTGCTCTTACATACTAGCTCCTATGTTACATGCCAGCTCCTATGTGCTCTTACATACCAGCTCCTATGTCTGCTGGCACTGTGATCTCAGATACCCTAGAGCCTTGCTTTTCCTCTTTTCCTTATATATGTAATGAAGCAGCGTTAGCATCTGTTTTGTGGCTTCGCTGCGAGGATGAAATGAGCTTATAATGGATAAGCGCACTGCAGTGCTTAACGACAGTGGTGCATAGTAGTGGCTCATTCAATAGTAACAGCTGAGGACCGCAGTGCTGGGAGGACTCCCTGTCTGAAAAGATACCTCTTAAAACTAGATCATGTGCTTTGCCTCAAGAGGGTCTCCCCTGGCTAGTATAGAACTCTGTGTGCACCAGACTTGTCTTGGCTCCCTGAGTGCTGGTTTCAGGCGTGTGCTACCACGCCATACTATCTCTAGTTCTTAAAATAGAAAAGGAAGTTTTGAGCCATGGAAGGCATTTAAGTTCTTCACATCTTTCTGATCCTCATAACTGTTGCTAAGAATTGTTCGTTGTGTTCTATTAGAACCTGAACAGCGTTTTATCTGGGCACGAGTTGCATGCATGGAATTGTAGCACCCGGGAGGCTGAGGCAGTAGACAGCAAGTTTAAGTCCAGCTTGGGACATGCAATAAGATTGTCTCTCCAAAACCGACCAGTCTTTTTATAGTTGTATTGTTTCCTGGAACATTTTCAGGGTTCTTGTGCCCTGGGAATGGAAGTTTTCATTCTCCTATAGGGCTAGGTGATAGAGTCCCCACCAAATAGCCACCTCTCTAGTACAGTATAGGACAGAGATGCCAAAACTGTCTTGACAATATACAAAGACAAATCCTCTCAAAGTTGATGTTTCTTTTTTTTTAAATCAGATTTCTTCTCAAAACCAGTAAGATCATGGATTTTTGCTGGCTTAGGGTGACTAGGAAATTTTAAATGCCACATCCAAAATATGATTAAATGTCTTTGTGTACTAAATGTGGAGTTAAATTCCATTTGAGGATAAATTCCTCATTCTAAGTACAAAGCAAAGAGTTTCAGCATGTTAATACGGACTGAAGTTTTGACATGCAGCTGAAGATGGACTAACAAATGCTGTGTGTTAAATAAGGAAAGGCCGCTCCCCAACAGCTCATGTGTTCCTCACAGTTAAGCAAAGGCACTTGTCAACTAGAAATGATTTGAGGTTGAAACAAGATTAAAAGAGCCAGATTAAAGAAAGGGATCTATGAAATATAGTCGACTTCTAAATCACTGCCTGTCTTCCAGAGACTGCTTTGTGGTCTGTTTGATGCCATCGTTAGGTCCTAGGAAACTCGTTTTTAGTCACTTACACTAGACTCAAAGGTCCTCCTTTTAAATGCGCCACATTACCAGGGTGCATGTTTTTTCCATTAAGATCTTAATGAAACCTCAAATTAAGGCAGCAAAATGAATATAGATTTGACAACTTCTTCCATGTTGTTTATGAGAGCCGCTTTGTTTCTGCAGCATTTGCTGTTTTTCCATGATACTTAGCATTCAACTTGAGAATGTTCTTATTTACTGCCCTAAAATGAAACATCATGCTAACTAAGGATGTGACTAGTCCTTTCAGTCAGGGCAGTACATGGATGTTGGATGAACACGAAATCTTTATAGCTTCTTTTATAATGTAAATGTCTTATAATTCTCAGAAATTAGTTTTGGGTCACAGCATTTGTACTTAGTTAAGGTTTTTTTGCTTTTGGTATGTCACAGTCCGCACTACTTCTTTATTCTTCAGTAAAGGACTTTAAGTCTTTAGTTCAGTTTCAGATGAGACCATTTAAAAGCAGCCTTTTTCCCTTTGATATCACAGCAGCCTGGGAATGAAACGGTGCAGGCTGTATTTGACAGTAGTGGTCAGCCTAGGAATTTCCAGCACTCTATGTTACATGTTTATGTAGGATATTTATTGTTTTGAGAGTCCATGCCAATTTTTGTTGTTGATTTGTCGAGACAAAATCCATCCATACTGTAGAAATTACTGTGTAGCCCAGGCTCGCCTTAAATTTTGTAAAGTTCTCCTGCCTCAGCCTAATGGACACTTCCTAAGTGATTTTGATTTCTGCATTAACAGTGTTGTGTTGTGCGGGTGTGCATGCGGTCCTGGGTTTTACCGTAGGTTTCTAAGTCCTTCCCAGAGTTGTCTGTGTGTAGAGCACACAGTGATGCTTCTGTTCCCTGGGAAAATAGCCTGTATTCATAATTGCCTCTGGATTACTGACAGTCGCCTTTAAGAAAGGAGTAAAGTTTATGTGTGGAATTGTAGTGCGTGGTTTTTCCTGAGCGTTCTTCTGAGCATATTTGAAAGCTTCACAGTTTTACCCTTTTCAAGGCGATGTGTGCAGATGAGATCTTTTTCATCTGTTGTGTTTTCTTCCCTTTTAAATTTGTAAACATACTTTATAATATCATAGTATAAGTAAATGTATTGTAAATATTATATAAATATTCATGTTTTCGATGGTTTAACATAAAGTAATTTTGGTTGCCTTTCTGGTCTAGTTTTAGGGGAAAATTCGAGAAAGAGAAGATTTTTAAATTCTTTTGAAAGCTTTGTCACACAGGAACTAATATAGCTCATAAAGAAAACGAATTTTCAGTTTCTCTCTATTGGAATTCTTAGTGCTCGTTCCCACTCAAACTCTAACATTGGGCAGTTGGTGTCTGTCTCAGCTCCTGCCATGCTGTGCCCCTCTCTCAGCACCCTGGGCGAGTGTGCCCCCCATAGCTGTAGCTTCAGTTCCTCTCTGTGGTGCCTGGCACAGTTATTTGGGGGGCGGGGGTTGAACACCGTCCTTTATTTTTAAAATGCACGTGTCTCTAGAGGGAAGGGTTTTGTTTCTTTTTCTTTCTCTTGTTTGCATTTGAATGCAAAGCAGGCAAGAGAAATCCAGTGTTAATCTAGATTGTGATGGAGGGTTTTTAAGACTTTCCAAATGTTTGAGAAGCAATGGGATACCGGTGAGCTGTAGTGAGAATGATTCCCATTCTTCAAGTGCTTTCTTAGGCGAAGTGAGAGAATTAAACCCCTGCTTTATTTACCACTGTGTTTCTTTTGCTCTGTGTTTGTGTTCTGTTTCTCTCCTGGCTTCCTTAGGAAGGGTTCAGTGCATGTGGTATTTTATGATTATTATTTTGCCACGATTGGCAAATGTATTTATTTCATTTTTCTTTCATGTTTCGCTAAAAAGTTAATCCAAGCACTCGCTGTAGTAAAGAGGCCTCTGCAGGACTGCTGTGCTCTGCTCTGCGTCTCTTAACTGTCACTATGCATGCCGTGTTCTCCTGTGTGTTTCTTTAAACTCAGGCTGAGTCCATAGAAACAATGCAGTTAAACTTCTGTGCAGCAATTAGAATGGAAGTACTGTTTTATTCATTATATTAGCAATAGCATAAGTGTATAAGGTTAAGTCCCCTGCACAGGAAACCTTCTTAAATTGGCCTGTGTTGGGGCTTGTTGAGACCCCTTCTGAGGAGGACGGTGTTGAGCGCAAGCAAGAAACGAGGTTAACATTACAGTCTTCCCCGTGCAGGTCAAGTGAGCAGTCTGAACGTCCGCATGATTTACAGGGCTGCCCCTTTCTTCTCTTACTTATGTATCCTCTTTCTCTTTTTTTCTGTCAACCGCAGGGTGTTTTGCGGTAGGAATACTCTGGCTCACTGTGGAAAGGTTTGTGTGTAGCCTGTTGCATACACGCATGAGAAGAAAGACTGTTTTGGTCCTACGAGGCTTCTTCCACATTATTTTTTAAAATTAAGATTAGGAGCAAATGGAGCCAGAGTTAAAATGTCTAGCTTTGAGGAGAACACATAAAAAATGTTTTCTAAGTAGCATTCTTTTTTTTTATTACATTATCTCTTTTTATTTCTCTGTAAGATTTATACATGCGTGCACATATTTTTATGTTTCTATTTTGCTTAAATGACAAAATCATGCCAGATGGAAACTGATGATGGAAATAACTTGATATGAACTAGCTCCCCCAAATATGCTCTCTCCCCTCTTCAACACTGTGGTATGTGAGGGGTATTAAAAAATATCTTTTTTCAAATTGACTTCTTAACTCATGAGGTTTACTGGTATCCTATCACTGGATAAAGGATAACTGATGAAATATAAGACTAAAGTAATAGTTTTTTTCATAAATGCAACACAATTTTACCATAGGATGTCGTTTCTCATAACACATTTGAGTTTGTATAAAATGGTACTGTGTTTGTGATGGCTTTCGAAATGGACTGATGTGAAGCCTATAGAAGTCTAATGAAGTTTAGCTGTTGCTAATTCCAGGCTTGCTGAAATGTAAGATGATAAACGTATAGAATGTTCTCAAAGGATACACTGATGCCCTATAATTTTTTTTGGCGTTTCTTGATTCTGTTAGAAAGCTAGTCTTTTGTCCTGGTGTTATTTTTGAGTCTGTCCAAATCCTTCAGAGGAACCATATATTCTTTCTTGAAATGGCAAAACCGCTTGCTATTACATGATTAAGTAACGCCAACCACAACAAAGTCTCATCCAGTAATTTGCCAATTCGAACTTGTTTCTGTGAAGCTAACTTGTACATTATAGTGTGACTGGCTCCTGATAGTGTAGACCCACAGTTACAGACATTTTCAAAGAAACTCTTTAGTGCATGCTACGGAGATCGTGCAAGCAAGAGGACCAGAATTCAGATCCCCAGCACCCATTTAAAAAGCATGGTATCAAATGTCTGTAACTCCAGCCTGGGGAGGGGAAAGAGTGTGAGGTGAGGAGAATAGATGGATCCTCAGATCTTGCTGGCTAGCTTATTAGTTGATACGGTCTAGGTCAGTGAGAAAACAGTCACCAAAACAACAATAACAATGGTGACAATGACATCAACAACAATGTAGAGAGTAGTAGAGGAAGTCACCTGTCTCTGCTGGTGTCCCTACACACGATCATACAAACACACACACAAATAAAAATAGACCTTCTGTCGTGGTTTCTCTTGCTCCTCTTCCCCCAGCACTTGAAACTTCTCAGGGCCATCGTGGCCAGGGGCACATCACAGATGGCAGCCAGAGGAGCTTGTCAGTTATGTGTTAGTCACTGAGTGATGGACTGACAAGCGTTCAAGAGCAGCACACACTCTGAGGAAATACACAAGGAGATTCACATCCAGACGATTCGTTGTGACTTTAGGTGACCTAGATATTGGGAGGGCGTACATGCTGCATTGTCAGAGGAAGGGGGATGCTTTTGCCGTTCTGGTGGGTCACCGGCAACAGCTGTGCAGCAAGGGAAGTGACATCCCATAAACCATTCTTCAAAGACCGATGCATTATTGTCTGACCACACTTGATTTTGTATATTTTCTATGTGGATGTTATTTAGTGGGAACAATGTGTTCAGTGAGTATTAATGAGTGATTGAAAGAAATGGCCTTTTTGTGCACTGTTGTGTGTACTACCATAGATTGTTTTTCAAAGTGGAAGTTCAGCTGGACCAATCAGGGCAGCATCTGTTCCTCCCTCCCTCCCTCCCTCGCTCCCTCCCTCCCTCCCTCCCTTTCTCCCTCCCTCCCTCCCTCCCTCTCTCGAAAGTGCCCACACAGAAATCTCAGGAAATTAGATGTTGAAGAGTGTCGCAGGGAAGGTGAGGTCGCTGAAGTGCTATCTGAAAAATAGACAAGGTCTGTGAGCTTTAGACGGAATGTGTGTCGTGTTAGGAGATGTGAAGGCCCTGCCCGAGAGCCCGGCTTGCTTTCTGTAATTCAGTAGGAGAACACACTGCATAATCTGCGCGGTCAGGGAGGGTGCTCCAAAAATTATATTTGCACAGATTGTGGCAAACTTTTGCTTTATGACATCTGGGCTAGGGCCTCATTAGCAGTGGCTCAGTTGTCTGAGTAGTACTCAGTGGTCCTTGTACCTGGAGACCATGTTGTGAGAGCAGATACAGTCCCCAGCCCCACACAGTGGGCATTGCCGTCTATGTCGTGCATTCTGGTAGTCAATCAAGGAATTGTGAATTCCTTAATTGGAATTGACTTAAAATGGGAAGTTAGTCAATCAAGGAAAAGTGTTGGGTCATTCCAGTGCAGGTTTCTTCCCTTGGCGACACCTGTGGGAGGAGACAGTGAGATAAAGTGAGGCTAGAGCAGAAGGTGGCGGTCACGTTGGTTCCCAGCAGGACTCAGTGCGAAGCTGAACCTCAGGCCCCAGCTTCACGGCGTTGACGCTTTTGCCAGCATGCCATATTCCGGGCTGGGAATTAGACAGGTAATCTATGGACCATAGTTGTATTTGATAGTTAGCTCTGAGAAATTTGCTAACTCAGAAGAGAACAGAAATCCAGGAATTGAAAGACAATGAAAGCTTGTATTGTGCACAATAGAGGAAAGCAGGTTCTTAGTGGAAGTCTCTGAAGTGACAGTGGTTAGCACACACATCCTCGGTCATAGTGAAGAGAGAACAGATTTGTGTTTGGTAAGCTTTCCGTATTTAGCTCATCCTGGTCTTTCCACTGAGCAAAATAGATAAGTCATTTTCACAAAACCAGCCGCCAGGAAGACGTCTGACTCTACTTGCAATAGGACATGGCGTTAGATTCTCCAGAGTGCGTGGTTCTGCAGAGAGCAGGGCTTCAAGGCGCACCAAGGCTTCATTTTGAGTCATCCTCATTTCCACGCATGCTGTCTCTCTGCACTGTATGGTAGTCTCTTGTCCTGACGTCGGAGTGGATTGTTAGTGTTGGAAATGTGTCTGTTCCTCCATTGAAAAGTTTCCACTGGAATGTTAGCCGTCTGAAAGGAGTGGCTGTAATTCCGAAGCCAGCATCCAGTTCAAAAGCAATTTGTTTTATTTTGTTGAGACAGTGTCTTACTAGTTTCCTAGGCTAGCCATGGAACCCAGACACACACACAAAAAAGTATCCCTCTGGCCTTGGGTGGGATCACAGGTGTTTGCCACCACACCCAGCTCTCTTATCAAGACCCTTTAACTTTGGAATCATTTCTGTCTCATCTCCTGCACTGTCTCATTCCATTGGTCAGTATTTCTCTGAGGAAATGCATGACTGAACTGTAGCACCTCAATATTTAGGGGTAGGGCTTACTTTGGGAAAAAAAAAATCTTTCCTAATATACAAGACTGTGGTTCATCATGGTAATTTTTAAATGTTCTTTTACTTTTTAAGCAAAGTGAAACCACCTCCACAAATTTCACCGAGCAAATCAATGGGTGGCGAGTTTTGCGTGGCTGCAGTGTTCGGGACCTCCAGGTCGTGGTTTGCAAACAACGCAGGTCTGAAACGGGAAAAAGGTATGTGGTTTGCTCATGCTCAGCTGCCCTGTTGCATCGTCTCTGAGGATACGGGGTGAGCAACTCTTCTAGATGACTTTATGACTAATAGCCTAATAGTTTTTACTAAAATAAAATTAAGTCCACTTCTTTCTTTTTATCTATCAAGTCTGGCTCTAATTAAAACTATTTTCTCACACAAATGGAAAATGAATTTACCATTGACTGATTTTTTTTTTTATTTATTTTCAAGAGCAAGTCCCTATATATAAACCTGGCTGTATTTAACTTGTAGACCAGGCTGGCCTCGAACTCACAGAGATCCTCCTTGCCTCTCTCTGCTGGTATTATATATGTGCATACTAACCTGGCCCAGTTGACTGTATTTTGTCTTTTTTAATGACATTCATATTTGATCTTAGGGCTATCTATTTTATACCTAGTCTATTACAGGTTTTGCACAAGCTAATTTCACAGTATTGTCTCTGAAGGAAGAAGGAGAAAATTTTGTAACCTTGGAATCAACCAAGCTCACTAATGTCAGTTTATGTTAGCTAAGGGGGCCTATGTGGGCGTGAATGCATTTTTTTCTGAAGAGGATGGTCAGTCCCCTGGAGCTGAAGTTACAGGTGATTGTGAGCTGCAGGATTTGTAGTGGGCACTGAATTCAGTCCTCTGCAAGAGCAGCAAGTGCTCTCAAATGCTGAGTCATCTCTCTGGTTCCTGCTACATAAAAAAGATAAAACCAACAAAATCCTCAAGCCCCAAAATAAAACAAAAATGCTAAACTTTTAGTGAGAAGTAAGTGTCACATTTTGTGGTTATTATTGGCTCCTATGAGTTGGTGGGAATTACTATGTTTTTGTTTTTAATTTTTTAAAGTTTTGTTAAGTGTATAAATATTTTTGTCTGCATGTGTGTATGTACACCAAGTGTATGGTGGTATCCATGGGGGATCCAAAGGACACTGGATCCTCTGGAACTGGAGTCACATGTAGGAACCCTCATGTGGGTGTTCAATTGCTCTTAATCACTGAGCCATCTCTCCAGTCCAGTAGCTAGGTTTTTTACCTCTGTTTTGATCACAGGGATCAATACCTGGAATATTTGCATAAATATTGTTTTAGTATGTGATTCGTTATCATGTATATAGTTTTTTTCTTTTTCCAGTTATAGGGCTTGAACCTAGGATCTTTCCTGTGGTCTTTATATAGAAGAGAATGTTTATATGTTTCACACACCAAGTAAACAATTTTGAGTGTTATGATTTTCCCCTGATTACTTTATTGTGATTCAATTGGGTCACACGCTGGCGTGCCCCTGGCTTGTTCCACAGGCACTTTTGTTCTTGGCAGAAATGGCTCTTCTCCCTGCTCACCCTTGGCAGTCAGACACCAGCCATTTCCCTTGCGATCACCTTTCAGTGAACACTGCCTTGTAATCGGATCTTAGCGCAGCAGGTGCCTTCCCAGTTAGGAAAGCTATTGGAGAAGAGGCAAGGGAGGCACTCCCATTTTCTTATCCCATCTTTATTTTTTTGTTACTGCCTTTGGTTTAATGATGCTATCGAAAGGACTTTTTGTTACTCATTAAAACCTTCTGCAAAGCTCGATTTCAAATGCTTCTCCTTCTGTCCTAATTACCCCTTTTGCTTGCTACTCCTTTATGTCCCCCTGGCTGGTCATTGGCCATTTTCTCAAATCAGCTGTAATTGATTCGTCTGACACAGAGATAAGATGACCCACACAGCGCTCATAAGCAATCCTCAGTCCTCCTCTGCTTACTGTAAAACGCGAGCTTCAGCACTGAGCCTACTCAGTGTGTCCCTGTGTCTGCCCTATAAAGTCATACCCAGCACTGATTTCTCAGTGTCTCCACTGGCATTCCTTTATTACTGGAGTCAGGGATCTCATTGAGAAGTGGACTAAACTAGTTTGAGGAGGGTCTTTACTTTTATTTTTTGTTTTGTTATGTTTTTGAGACACGATTTCTCTGTAGCTTTGGTGCCTGTCCTGTAACTAGCTCTTGTAGACCAGGCTGGCCTTGAACTCACAGAGTTCAAGGCCTCTGTCTCCTGAGTGCTGGGATTAAAGGCGTTCACCACCACCGCCCGCTGGGTCTTTTCTTTTTTATGTATTGTTTCTGGTTCACAGACAAAGGGAGAGAAAGCTATAGAGAATGTCTGTCTGTTCCTTAGTCCACTTGTGCTTAGCCCATGTCAAGAGAGTGCTGTATTTATTTCAGCTGGTTGTCTTGTAGAGACAAATGATGCTGGGTTTTTTTTTTGTTTTGCTTTGATCCAGATGTTAATATTTAAGTTTTCTGCATGCATGCACGTGTGTGTGTGTGTGTGTGTGTGTGTGTGTGTGTGTATGTGTAGCAGCTAGAGGTGGATGTTGGTGTCCTGCTCCATTATTTTTGCCTTGTTTGGTTGAGTCAGGGCCTTCCTGAACCTGGAGCTCATTTGGTGGCCAGTGAGCCCAGTGATCCTCCCTCTTTATCCCTTACCCTCACAGACGTTACAGGCTGGTGTTTGACTACGCCTATTCATGAGTTTTGTTTTCTTTTCATTGGTGTTGGGTTTCTTTGTTTGTTTTGTTTTTCAGAGTGTTCTGGGGTTTGAACTCATGTTCTTGTGTTTGCCCAAGAAGCACTTATCTCTGTTGAGCCCTCTCCCCAGCTGATGAATTTAAGTCTGCCAAGAAAACACTGAATTGTTAGGCTGACTTAGTCCCACACCTAGCTCTTCATGTAGGTCTGTTGTTCAAGCCAGTGTTATTAAATTTTATTACATAGATTATTCATTTTCTGATAATTCTTCCATGTCCTCCTTATGTCATTTATTTTCCATAATATTTGGAATAATATATAATATAGAAATTCAAGTTTTTATATCAAAGTGTTTGGCTATACTGCAGTTTTGAACATAATGGTATCATTCTCGAAACAAGAGAAATGCTGTGACCTGTTCACTGGCGTCTGCTTATGCAAGGCACCTGCAGCAGGGGTGCAGACGCCATGGCACAGAGCTCTTCTTACTTCTTTTGGTAGCCCAAGGTGCAGACAGCAGGGTCGATAATGTAAATCTCCTGTTGTGATCTTTCTCTGCCATCCTCACGTCTTGTTCTGATTCTCTGCAGATCAGTCCAAACAAGTTGTAGTTGAATCTCTGTACATCATCAGCTGCTACGGAACCTTAGTAGAGCACACGATTGAGCCTCGGCCGCTCAGTACTGCTCCCAAGATCAGTGACGACACACCGCTGGAGATGATGACGTCACCCCGTGCCAGCTGGACACTCGTTAGGTAGTTCTTCCTTCCTCCTAAAGATGTAACCTTTGTGAGATCTTGACGTATATGCCGGTGAAGTGCAGTCACTCACAGCAGTGTGTTTACTCGGGTATAATCTCCCTTCTTGCCCTTGTCTCTAGAATCTTGTACAATTGAGATCAGACACTATTGTCTGGCTCTCCAATCTGGGAAGACCTTAGTCCATTTCTTTTTTTATTGGCCATGGTCTACATGCAGTGAAATTTAAGCACTGCCAGTCATGTGTGTACCCTTCTGCAACCGCTTTTCTTTATCAGGTGAAGAAATCCTGCCTCATTTCCCCTCTAGCTCTATACCACTGCCAGAAGCTTACTTTGTATTGCCTGCCTTTCCCTGCTCTGGTCACTAAAGGATGAAGTCATGAGATATGTTACCTTTTGTATCTGATTTCTTTCAGTTAGCATATTTTGAAGGTATTTATTAATGCGATGTATAAGACTTTTAATATCTTTTTTATATTCTATTATATAGGAATATCACATTTTGTTTATCCGTTCATTAGCTGGAGGCACTTTTACCCTCTAGCTGTCACTAATTGATGCTGTAAATATTCAAATGCATGACTGTGCATGGTGTTATCTTGTACTGTCCCACGAGATAGAATCAGAGAGTATCTCTGTTTGAACTTTTTTGTATTTTTTACTTTGAGCTTAGCCTTTAATAGCTGAGGCATCTTTCCAGTTGATTTGAACTTTCTGTTTGTTTGTGTATCATTTCTTGGTCTTGTTTCCCTTGTTCCAGTCTCACATGAATTAAGGGAAATAGAAAGGAATACAAAGAGACTCTAAGGTCTCCTTTAAAGTGATCATCTAGGATGCAATGGTTAGGCACTCTAGAAATGTTTGAGAATCATCTCAACTCATGTAATGAGTAGAATTTTTATAAGATAGCACAAAGAGGAGGAAATGAAACCTGGAATAATCCTACTTAATATGATGCATTGTGCATGGGAGAGAAACAGTCACTCAATATGTAAGAAAGGAAGCAGATAAAAATGGATATGAAGATGACCCTTCTCCTTTGACATTTTAAAATATTCTATTGATTTTTTTTTCTTGTGGCTCCAGCATTCTTTACTAGTACTCACTGTGCTGGATTAGCCTGATCAATTTCTGATTTATCAAGCTTATTTAAAATTCGGGAGATCCAATTAAACTTACTGCAGTCTCACTGTTCAAATAGCTAATTCAATCCAAAGTAAGTTGTCCTTTTACACAGCTGCTTTTTTAAACCAACTTTTACTTGTTTCATGTTGAAGATGTCTAACACTGGTCAAAAATGGGATAAATGGCATCTCTATAGTTGACGCGTAAATACCGCTCCTCTCTTTTCTGTCGTTCTTATCTAGCTGATTACCGTCTAGCTCTGATAAGTTAACGTCGGCTCCATGTTATCTGCGTGGCACATTGCCACCTTTTTAGTTTAAGTTCCTGGTCTTGTATGTCAAGTTAAAGAGCATCGATCTTAATGATTACAGATTCATTTTAATGTTCAGAAGCCGTGAGAGCCTCTATCAGGGTCTGTGGGTGATTTACATCCCATCTCTGAAGCTTAAATATTAATATTCTTCTGCTGTTTCCTTAGGACGCCTCAGTGGAACGAGCTGCAGCCACCGTTTAATGCGAACCACCCTCTGCTCCTCGCGGCAGAAGCTGTGCACTACTACCAGCTCCTGCTTGCTGGCTGTAAGTACTTCTCCTTGCCTTGCTTTCTGTTTTGTTGTGTTTTTTCTTCCACACGATCTTTTCTGAATTTGCTGACTTTCAAAGCCTGTTTGCATATTATCAGTCCGTCAGTCCGTGGGCCATCGGTCTTAAACAAACAATAGATGTGTGTCTTGTTCTTTCCTATGAACTATAGCTTTGAAAAGGTCTGGAAAAAGAACTCAAAAAAAAAAAACCCACAAAACAAAGCAAACTACCTCTAACATGTGACCTGGCAGGGTATAGAGGGACCTGTTCCTAAGGGAACAAAACCAAGCACTCCATCATAAGATGCCACGAGAGCAGCTTCTGCCTGTAGTTTAGTTATTTGGACTCCTTGACAGTCTCAACTGCACTAGGTTTTCGTTTGTGCTGATGCTGGGGTTCAAACCGTGGCCTTGCATGCGCCAGCCGAATGCTCTTCAACTAAGCTGGTTTTTCCTTGAGGTCCTTTGGCCATTTGTAGATATTGATGTTCATCCAGCCAGATACTTTCATTTTTAATATTGGAGGCATGAAGGGACATTTTAATATTTATTATCCAGTTTGTCTTCATTGAATTAAAAATGCTTTACAATTATAATTTGGTTTTGTAGAATATACTGAGTCCTAATTGAACCTGATGGCTCTGAGTGCTGTATGCTTTTAGAAACTTCCTGAAAATCAACAGTGACATGTTTTTTAATGGTAGTTGTCCTCCATGTAGTGTCTTGCTTAGCAGTTATGGAGCTTGAGCTAAAATAATTGCAGACCTCTTTATTTCATTTGTAATGTGTTACATATTATGCTGGAAGCAGGACAACTTTATAGGCTTCGCTCTACAGTTATAAAACGCCAGAAGTAATAAAGAGGGGTTTTTGGGCAGTCTTATTCTTACACTTTTCAACTCGGCTTTTGCTGCCTCGTTTGTGAAGTGCCTACTATGTGTCAGCCCGCACTGAGTGCATCTGGCCCCAAGCTGCTCACTGTCCAGCTGCACAGACAATGAAAGTAAAAAACAATGGGATGAGTGTCGCAGCGGAGAATCCTGCCTTCGGGACTGTGCTCCGCACTGAAAGCAATGTCAGAACTGGTGACGGACAGCAGGTTGAGTGGGGGGATGTGGAGAGGGATTCATGGAGTTGTCATTTTCTAGTCTTTTCAATCATTGTTAGATGATCTAGTATAAATGTGGCACTAGATTTCAAAGAAAAAGTGCAAGCATTTTTACTACCTTCTTTTTGTTGTCGTTGTTGTTTTATTTTTGAGACAAGGTTTCTCAGCGTAGCCCTGACTGTTCTGTAGTCCAGGCTGGCTTTGAACTGACAGAGATCCAGCTGCCTCCGCCTCCCAAGTGCTGGGATTAAAGGTGTGCTCTGTTTTACTTCTCAATAAAAGGCGAAAGTCCTAATTATTGCAATAAGTGTTGTTGACACGGTTAATGCGGGCTTCTTTTTGTTGTTTTGATACCTGTTGTTAGTTCAGATGAGCTGACAGACAGTAAGTAAGTCTGAAGTGTCTAAGAAGATAAAGGAGAGGTAAAAACCACACTCCAGCTCTTCATGTTCCTGCCAGTCACGAGCTGGTTGATGGCATTCGACTTAGGTGCCCGAACACTTTTGTCCACTAGTGCTCATTCTGTCCGCCAGGGGCTTTCATGCCCGGTGATGACATCGTCAGAGTGGCTGTGCATGTTGGGGTTTGGACCCAGGGCCTGCACACAGTAGGTAAGCGCCCTACTTAGTAGGACGTAGACCGCATATCTCCTCCGAGCCTCCCTGCAGCTGCACTGGATGGCAGCTCTAGAAAGCTCACTCCTCTGGCAGCTCTGCGGCGGGATACTTGGAAGAAAGGGATTGGGCAAAGAGTCTTTTTTTTTTTTTTCCTGTTTTTTTCGAGACAGGCTTTCTCTGTGGTTTTGGAGCCTGTCCTGGAACTAGCTCCTGTAGACCAGGCTGGTCTCGATCTCACAGAGATCTGCCTGCCTCTGCCTTCCAAGTGCTGGGATTAAAGGCGTGCGCCACCACCGCCCGGCTGGGCAAAGAGTCTTGAAGCAAGGTGAGATCTTCATCCGCACAGGCCTGTGAGATGCTGCGGGCAGGTTTGGCCCAGGCACCCTCACCAGCTGGACCGTCTCTCTGGTTTCTGTTGCCTTTTTATATGGATTGGAATGATACAGCCTGGCTTTTAAAGTTTCACAGCAAACCCACTGACCTGCGGGCGTCTGGGAATACATTGCCATGGGGCAGCACTGCTGCCGGTTAGAACAGTGCCTTTACTTCCCCCTCTGTAACACTCTTCCCAAGTTCCCTCACTGAAGCTGTTTAGACAGCTGCCCTACCTCCTACAAAAGTCAGTCACTATTTCTGGTGCTGTGGGTGCGTTTGCTTCACTTACTGAGGTTTAAAATCATCTTTGAGCCTATGGGCTTTAGAGAGTGTGGTGGAACCCTTGTCTTCGGTGTGCTGGGCTCTGTGATAGGTCCCTAGCAAGGACAGGGGGAAGGGTGGGAGGGAGGATACTTTGGTGCTGTTGAAGAAGCATAGCAAACTTGCACAAACTCGGGAATGATGGAGTAGTAGGCAAAGATGTGAATAGAAATAGGAACGAGACTGTCACTGGGAGAAGAGAGCAGCCCTGCAGGATGTTAGCAAGGACTCCCACGTCATCATAAGAGATCCACTGTTCTCCGTAAACAGTTTGTTCCGCATTGTAGCAAGTATGCAGCTGAGGAAAGAAAACAGAGGCCTGCCCTACATGCTGCTGAATCCTACCCACCAAAGTAACCAAGCCTCCGATTCTGTGCTCCTCACCATTGGGTCTCTTCTTCTTCTTCTTCTTCTTCTTCTTCTTCTTCTTCTTCTTCTTCTTCTTCTTCTTCATCTTCTTCTTCTTCTTCTTCTTCTTTCTTCTTCTTTCTTCTTCTTTCTTCTTCTTCTTCTTCTTCTTCTTCTTCTTCTTCTTCTTCTTCTTCTTCTTCTTCTTCTTCTTCTTCTTCTTCTTCTTCTTCTTCTTCTCCTCTCTGTGGTTTTGTAGACCAGGCTGGTCTCGAACTCACAGAGATCCGCCTGCCTCTGCCTCCCGAGTGCTGGGATTAAAGGCATGAGCCACCACCGCCCGGCCGGTTGGGTCTCTTCTGTATTCAGGAGAATGCCCAACCGGGGAGGCCTGTTCACGGTAGACAGGATCATATTCCGGTTGTTCATTCAGAAGTCACCATGGAGGTTGAGATGAACCATCGAAGACTGCCATTTTTTAACCATTTTTTAAAAACTATAATATATGAAGAATTTATATGTTGAAATTAAATGTGCAGATGGTAATCTTAGTATTTAGGTCAGAGACATAAACATCAAGAATATATATCCTTTTGGACATAAAATTATTGGTAGAACTGTAGAGATGACTCAGTGGTTAAAAGCACTTAATGCTCTTCTGGAGGACCTGAGTTCAATTCCCAATACCCACATAAGACAGTTCATAAATGCCTGTAATTCAAGCTCCAGGGAATTTGACTCCCTCTTCTGGCTTCTAAAAGTACACACACACACACACACACACACACACACACACACACACTTCTCCTTAAATCAAATATAAAATAAAATTTTTGTTGAGATTCATGGTTTATTGTTGCTATTGTGTTGTTCTTTCAAAGTCACACTTGTTTCATTGTAGAATATTCTTTTCCAAAATGAAAATTAGTCTGCCCTGGACCTTCCAAACTGTAAATTTAAATGAGGACCTAACCGTGAGATTGGGAAAGCGTCTTTAGAGGATAAGTAGTCTGTAGATCCCTCGCTCAGGCGCAGCAGTGCTCAGTGGGTCCAGCATGCGGGGAGTGGGCGTCAGACTCCACACTGCTTTCTCAATAATCCACAGTCACGTGATCCCATATGAACCCATACACCAGTGAAAAACCATAAAGATTATAGGGTATTTGAACCGAGTGAAATTGAAAGCAGAGCTTGTCCACATGTTAGAATTCTCTCTCTTCTAAGCCGAAGACTTAGTTGTTAGTAGAGGACTCAGTTTGATAGCTCTCAAGGAGAAGACATGCAGCCTCGAAATGTTGCATAGTTGATGGTTCCATTATTGTGTCATTTCTAAATCTAAATCAATGTGTCATATAGATGGCAGATCAGGGCTGGGCTTTGCTTGGGCTTTTGTTGTTTTATTTTTATTTTGGGGGGAATTTTTGTTTTGTTTTGTTTTTGTGACAGGGTTTCTCAGTGTATCTCTGCCTGTTCTAGAACTCAGTTCATGAAACAGACTGGCCTTGAACTCACAGAGATCCGCTGAGATTAAAGGTGTGTGCCCTACTTACAGGCTCTAGCTGTACCTTTGCTTGGGGAAGAAGGAAGGTGACTGCATCTCTGAAAGCTTGGGGCAAGATAAGTGTTCATTTTGACAGAACAGTTTTATATCTTTTTTAAAGTGTGTGTTTGGCCAGGTGGTGCTGACACATGCCTTTAATCCCAGCACTCCAGAGGCAGAAACAGGTGGATCTCTGTGAGTTCGAGGCCAGCCTGGTCTACAAGAGCTAGCGCCAGGACAGGCTCAAAAAAAAAAAACTACAGAGAAAACCTGTCTCGAAAAACAAAACAAACAAAAAAGTGTGTGTTCGTGTATGCTCCTGGATATACCAGAAGAAGGTGTTGAATGTCCTGGCATTGATGTTGCAGGTGTGTGAGACACCAGATGTGGTTTCTAGGCACCAAACTCAGGGCTTCTGAAAAGAACTACAAGCATTCTTAACCACTGAGCCATTTCTCTAGTCCTCAAATGGGCAGCATATTGAAAGACCCTTTGTGCAAGTTGACTGAGTGTTGCTGTGATAAATATCTTGATCATAATCGACTTAGGGTGGTTTTGTATCCTCTCAAGGGTTCCAGTCCACTGTTGAGAGAAACCGGGCCAGGAAACACTGCTTACTGGCTTGCTCAGATATCCTTTTTGTATACAGCCCGAGTCCCCACATCAAATAGCAGTTGAGAAAACGT